GGCGGGTTTTAGATTGTCGTGGGCGGGAGCGGGCGGGAGTGACAGAGACAGCGGGCGGGATTGGGCGGGAATCGTCAGAAATTCAGCGGGAGTGGGCGTTAATGGTCAGAAATTCAGCGGGAGTGGGCGGGAGCGGGATTAAAAAAATAGTCCCGCGCAGGGCTCTACCAGAGATGTCCAACATCCTAGCCGGAGGGTCAGCTTAGAGAACAACAACTCTAAACACAAACATGCAAATCCATCTACACAAAGCACTAAAAACATGCACATCATCGTAATTGCATGAATACAATCATAATGCAGATGGTGTTGTGCAAGTTCACACTCAACAAGAACTAGCTCAAAGTTCAGCTGACACAGATTAAATTGAATTAGTTCACATTCAAAATACAGAATCTTGAACTAAGTTCACAAATGAACTAGTTCACGTTCATGACTTCCGATTTTGAATCCAAAGTGAAACTATTTATTGATCAGCAATTAAAATATCACAAGCTTCACCTACCATTAGAAAGCTCTTGGAGTCTACTCTATTAATATAAACAAATCATGAGTATGACTACCAGTGGAGCGCATCAACACTGATCAGGACAAGGACCCCGCGAGAAGATCAAGATTATCAGGAAATAATTTTCCCAGACCCAATTCTGAGACATCGTCAATGGTGGAGGAAATACTGAAGCAATTAACTGAAGTAAAATTATAAATAGACAATGTACTGTAGTAAAAGCTGAAGTACACCATTGGCCTTTCTACTTAAGTAAAAGGAAATACTTGATTGTAAATGTATTTAAAATATTAAAGTAAAAGTACTTGTAGTTCCTGATGCAGCAGTATAACATTGCATTAAGTATGTGTAGTGCACGTATATTTTGCTAAATACAGAAGTTCAGGCAAGATAGTGTTGTATTTTCCAATGTAAGCATTCAAAACATAAAATGCTCGTTATTAATAAATGCTTCAGAAATATATTCCATTGTGGAAACTGAAGTTAGGTTTACAAATTAAACAGCTACAATGATTAATGCTGATAAGCACATCTGAGCTGAGCACATGCTCTCAGCCAGACAGTTCAGAAATAGCTCTAACACTGATATATGTGTGTAGGGCTGTGCGATATGACGATGTATGTCATGTGATGATAGACATACGTCTATTGTTTCATATTTGTCATTTATCTTGTTGCAAATCACACACAAATACATGGCACGGATGCAAGCAGAAAATTTGCATGAAAGCCCCGACCGTCACTGCCCGATCTGCGGCTGTCATCGTCCGATTAAAAAAAGAAAACAGTAAAATGTAAAATGGAACGCGACGTGAAGCAGAAATGAAGTACAGTAGAAAGTATAAATATCTGCTGTAAGTAAAAGTCAAGAGTCCATGGCAAAATCTACTTAAGACCAGATATGTGAAAAATGTACTTAAGTACAGTACTGAAGTAACTCTACTTTGTTACTTTCCACCACTGGACACTGTAATACATTGAATTTCATATCAACATATGAAATCTGGTGCGTGAGCGTCGGTCACTGTTGCCAGAGTGAACAATGCTCACATTCATGTTCATTAACTGCAAACTGATGTGTTCAGTCCACCGTCCACCAAAAATATAAATGCCTTCATTGAATGGCACTCGTGTAGCGCATGCATGCACAACACTGAATGGAGAATTAATAGCATTCGTTCAAAAAAAAAATCATAAACTTACATTTCTGTACACCCGGTCTGGTCCGGCACTCTCCACTGTGGTCCACACTATAGGAGAAGCAGAATGACATAATACAGGTATAACCATTTATTTAATTATTGTATCTGTCTAACATACATGTGTCTGTAGCAGGAACAGGCACACACTCTGTACTCACTTCAGCTTCACCAGTTTACAGCTGGGATCCTCCATTAGAGCAGAGAGCAGTTTCACTCCCGAGTCTCCTGGGTGATTGTAGCTCAGATCCAGCTCTCTCAGGTGTGAGGGGTTTGACCTCAGAGCTGAAGCCAGAGAGTAACAGCCTTCCTCTGTGACTCGACAGCCTGACAGCCTGCAGAGAGACAGAAAAACTCTCAAATAAAGAAGATCACCTCACCATTACATACATTGCATAACATTTAAGTAAATGTGACTACTTTCATATTTACAACTATTTTCAATAAACAGTTCACAGTGCAGAACACCTAGTAATACTGACCTCAGATTCTCCAGTTTACAATGTGGAATTCCCAGTAATACTAACCTCAGTCTTTCCAGTTTACAGTGTGCAATACCCAGTAATACTGACCTCAGTATCTCCAGTTTACAGTGTGAATCCCCCAGCCCAGCAGAGAGCAGATTCACTCCTGAATCCTCTAATTCATTGTCACTCAGGTCCAGCTCTATCAGGAGTGAGGGGATTGATCTGAGAGCTGAAGCCAGCGCCTCACAGCATTTCTCTCCAAGTTCACATCGGTTCACCCTTAGGAAAATTAAACACTCATAAAACCACTTTTTACACTGGTAAACTGTATGTTGAATGCAACTGAGGAGAATAGAGGTCATGGCGCAACAGATTTTTTTAAAACGCTGAATTTACTAAGAAACATTCAAATAATCGTCCTGGTTTTAACTGGTGCCCATTATATTGTTATCCATGGTACATGTTAAAGTCAGCATGCTTAATTGCAATGTTACCATCAGTTTTGTTTTTAAATCCTATTAACTAACCAACACAAATCTTTTGCATTTATTAAGAACGAATGGTTGCTTCCTGTTTCACTACTTGCTTGTTTCTAACCTGGACTGAGTGCTGATAAGTTTGTGGGATATAAGGAAGTAGGACAAGAAAAATAAGCTGTTTGTGTTTGATTAT